GACCGACGCGCATCTGGTCATCTGGACTGCCGCCCTTCCCGTGCGGCCTATGCGTTAGCCTCGGTACCTGGCGACCTCTATGTACAGTCTGCGCCCCCCACAGAGGTGAGCCTGACCCTCGGGAGGGATGTAACCACTGTATGCCGGGGGTGTTGGAATTTTCTCTGTTCTGGGGGGCCCGCGGGGTCCTTGGCCTTCCGAGGGGACGTACCCGTTGTATGCGGGGGGTGTCTGGGTTTGTTCACCTGTGGGGGGTCCACCATTGCTGACAGAGGGAAACGCAAAGAGATTGCTTTTAGCTCTGTCCTCAAACGTGCTAGCTTCAAGCTCAGACAAGTTGCTGTGGTCGAGTCTCAGGACAGGGGGTGGAGCGAATGATGAGTGGGCGGAGTTTTGGGCGTGATCGACATCTATTCCATTGTGAAATTCTGTAGTTTTCAAGGTTTGCATTGCTGTCATGGTGCTGCTGTCGCTGTGACGTCGGAGTGGGGTAGAGGTGTGGTGGGGTATACTAGACTGGGTGGAGTAATACAACGGAGACAGTTTCTGTCCGATTCCCATGTCACTGGTCCCCGTTCCGTACCGATGTGGACGTCCTGTGGGCGGAGACTCCGAGAATGACAAGGGGGTGGAGTCTACAGACTCCCCGAGGTTTTCTCGGAGGGGGGCGCAGCTGTTTCATGGGGGTCAGCCCCGTGCTCCCGGGGGCGGGGGGCTCTTCAAACTCCCTCCAATTGCGGCGACACTCGCTCACACCCTGCAGGTAGGAAGAAGGTGAGACACCACTCGTGGTACTGGTGGACTCAAATGACAGCAGCGAGACTCCATCCCCTCCACCCTCTTCCGGAATGTTCCAGTGGACACGGTTCGACTTGTGTTTCCGCGGACCGTGCGGTTTCTTGAGGATTCTCTTCCGCGGTTGTCCAGGGGAACCAGCATCGGATGTGAAACTACCCGTGAGACTGCTCTCGCTCACCGAGAGGGAGGATCGACGGATTGACCCAGGGGGCGACTGGGAGAGGGTGTGTCCCGGGTAATCGGTGATTCTGACGCCGCGGGGAGGGGTCTGGGGGAGTGGGGAGGCCGAGGGAGTCGTCTCTGTGCTGTTTAGAGCCTCTAGGAGTGACTCATCTCCCTGAGAGTGACCGTTTGTGAGACTCTGAGTGTGTAAAAGAGGCAGGGAGAGAGAAGGAGGGGGATATAAATCCAGGTGTGTGGAAGCTAACAGAGTACCCAAAACAATCCTTTCAAATGCAGTCAGCCGGCATCGTAATTGAATTACCTCCCATGGCTTCCCTGACCAACAGTACCGCCCAACTTGGAGACAGTTTACCACACAAACCAGTCCATTTCCCTCCCCAGGCAATACTAAACACATACAAACCTTGAAACTATTGCTTCCTCAAAATGTTGCGAACTCTACGGCTCATAATATTATATGTATTATACCTGTCCGTCGGAATCAGTGTCATTGCTAGCATTATTGGAGATGTTTGCAGTAGTGGCAGCCTCACTGCTACGTGGCTCTTGGTAGTTATCCTGACACTAGAGCAAGGAGACACACATATGTACATCACATGCACACACACACACGCATGCACACACGCAAGCAACATGCAAGATGACCGTACTACATCATGTACCGTACCGTACTACATCATGTACCGTACCGATACTACATCATGTACCGTACCGTACTACATCATGTACCGTACCATACTACATCATGTGGAAAGGGTGGGATCAGATAGCACTCATGTTCACATGTACCTCATCTTGTTCTGTTGTACTTCTCACATGTACGCATGTAATGCAGCTGATCTTATCTATATCGCTTATCAGCCCAGCTATCTACATGTGCATGCATTATAGGGATTGTGATTACATTTATCAGTCCAGCTACATATCTACATGCATTTGTGCACATTTACATTCGGTACGAGAGAAACATGGGGGAATGGAGGAATGGGAATCTAACCTGGTCTCCGCAGAATATCTTGTGTTCTACACAGAGAAATGGTTTCCCAGCCAACTTCTTGCCTGCATTGCAAACAATCCGAACCATTACCACAGCATGTTCTGAAACATGTGGTCAGTTTGTTTTTATACAAAAACCACAAGACTCATCGCTAGTGTTATTATACACAGAATGAAAATTGAAATGGGGATTGTAATACATACACTAGCACATGCTGGGGGGTGTGTCAACATGACATAATGTTCGCAAGATTTAATCAGATTGATATTCATCGTACACAACAGTAGATTCAGCTGCGTGGGACAAATAATTATTCATTACGTCGGCATTTCTAGGTCACGCGCTGATCTGCAAAGTGGCAAACACTGGCTAGTTATTGTCGACGGCACGGCTGTGTGCGAAAACTGTTCAAACGGGGTTAAAATCCCCCCGAGCTTCTCGCAAGTATATACAGTTTGACACGTGTTGTGCAGACACTGGTGACAGTATGGCTGCTGAGTACCCTTCAAAACGAGAAGCACCTATGCTGCAGGGAAGGTACATAGCTGGCCCAGTTTATGGTGGCCATGGTGCCAGATCAGACAGCAAGCCAGTCTAGTACTAGCGCCGTCAGTATCACCTTTCAGCAGCCTTATTTTGCATGGCGGCAGAAAACTTTGTAACTGACGGAGACATGTCCACAAACCAAGTACTGTAATGCTCACTGCGCATGTATAAACAGTGACGACGCCACAAGGCAAAGGAGGCAAAGCTAACATTACGCATGCCGAGCGTTGTTGGTATTTTCTACTGTGAAGTTATACATAGGACAAGAGCCACATATGCTAAAGTTGTTTGGCAGAAGGCGAAGGAACAGGTCGCGGCCCAGCCAAGCCAAGTCTCTTTGAGACAAATTAGCAAAGTTAATGTCGGCGTCCACGGGAAAGCCAAGACGGCAGGCCAGACCATGTGAGCATCGTCCAGACAACCCCAGTCTAATTGGCTTAAAGGGTTGATACCTTGGCAACCTAATCACATCACGTTATTGTGTTGGGCTGTTTTTCGACATGAATTGGTTAATGCTTATAAAAATGCGTGTAAATGCGTGGTGTGGGGTAGAAGGAGAGGGGTAGGGAGGAGGGTGGGGGATGGGAGTGGGAGAGGGAGAGAGAATTACTCACTGCAATAATTGCAAGTCAGACACCTCGCGTGGAAGTACTTCCCAGCATACTTGTACGGTACTTGCTGAATTTCCTTCCCACACTTTTGACAATCTGGAGAGACGGAGGATGAGGAGGAGAAAGATGAAGACCAGAATATTCATAGGCATGGGCCACACAATTACACATTTATGACCACACACGCTTATATATATACCCAACGTTTAGACTATATTTGAAAATTCAAACAAGTTCAAACTTCCTCCTGACTTGTGACACATTAAACTCGTTCACACACTCCCACTCGCTGCAGAAATTAGCCCAACTATTTTACCAAGTTCCTGGTGAGTGACACCCGATCACATGCGTATCGAGTTACTCAACTTTGCAACAACCCACTTTCACATAGTACAAAAGGACAAAATGGCTTTCTTTGATGGGAGTCACACATTTCAGCAGTTTTTCCCATGGAACTTTGTATCAGAGCAGAACTCGTGAGCCCAGAGTATGAAATCCGAATAAAGCAATTGGGTATTGAAGTGTTTGGAAGAGGCGTCCGAGGCGGGTAGGGGGCACAGGTGGGCACCGGAACATGGGAAGTAATTCAAGAATAAATGGGGGATAATTCGGCAATATAAATGCAACATCTGTTTAATCGCCGTGAGCTCTGTATCGGGAAGTTGGCCGAGGGGGATGGGAAGGTCGACAAATCCGGGGAATTGGGTCCAAAAAAGTCACTAATGCCTAAGATCTTGTACACTGAACCTCGGCAGACAGTTGCCATGGCATGTTCTAACCAGTGCTGTAAACAGCTGCTTACAGAGGCACCGCTCCACAGTGCAGTACAGTGAGGGAATCCAGGCCTACTTGCCAAGAGTACAAATGGGGGAGATTTCACCTCTCAGGGATCATCATTGTTACTCTGTAGAGGGACACTAGATGAGGGTTTATGTCAGTAATTCAAGCTGTTTGGGAAGGTTATATGAAAAGGCTAGACTGTGAAGTGTATACAACTTGGCTAGGATTAATTTCAGTGAACTGGATCGTGTGGGAAGCAAAAATGCCAAGTATTACCATATTCATTTCATGGCCAGTGCATAGAGCTACCTGGTGGTATATATAATATGCATGCTTCTTGAAGCAGCGTGGATAAAGCAATGTTCTTGCTCCTGCATTCAGCTTCGAACAACGAGCCATCAGGCAAAGCAGGCAGTGCCTAGGACTCTCAAAAAGCGGCTGCCAATAACTAATGCCAAAACCACGGTATTCTCCCATCGAACAACGCGCCCCAGCCTCCACACAACGGACGGTGGAACACGCGCAGTTTTGCCAGCGCGCACACGCCGCAACAGTGAACACCTGCAGCTAGCTAGCATGCACACACTGCATCTACGCGCCGACGCACAAGACAGCTTACTCACCGTGTTCACTGGTATCTTCTTGGCTCTCTCCCATTGCTACGACAGCAAGTATCGTCCTCCGGCTCTCTCACGATTGATACGCAGTTGCACAGGCAGCTGTTGACACAGTAGCTTAGCTTTGCTGGCTGCGGCTTCTGCAGTTGTTACTTAGCAGCCAATCCGTTCGCAACAGTCCACAGCAAAAAACGCTTCCTGTGGTTCATCTGCGGCTGGAGACTAGACGCTCCTCACCCTGGAGATCGTCTGTTCCAAGTGCTAGCTCTCTAGCTTTCTTGATCGCTGCCGGATCGGACGGCACTCACAACCCCCCCGTTGCCAGAAATTAAGGCCCGGGTTCCAAATGCGCATGCGCAGTTATTCGGAAAAAGTGGGTGTATCTCGAATCCCGCGTAAGATCTGCCACGCCCTCTTTTCCACCAGCTCGACAGCAGTAGCTCATAGCCTAGCCAGCAAGAGAGAGGGGATGACGGGCGTAAACACGGAGTACATCATTGCAATCGCTCTAGGCTCCGTGCTGGTGACGCTCCTGCTGGTGTTCATGTGTCTGTTGTGCGTGTTTCTCAGAAAGAAGCGGGCGCTCTGCTTCCACGATCATCGCGGGTACGAGCAGCAGCAGCGGCCGTTTGTCATCCCGGACAAGACGCTCGAGGAGCGCTACGGCAAAAAGCAGCGACGCCGCAAGGGAGGCAGCCCGGAAAAAGGCGCGAAGAGGAAACCGGTCCAATTCTCTCGCATCGGGCAGCAGTCGCCAAATCTGCGCCAGCCGCGCGGGGACCCCTTCGCCCACAACTACCTGGAGGACCCCATGTTGGACGAGGAGGCAATGGGCGAAGACTGGTCGAACCCCCTCTTCGACGCCGAGCGCTCGCAGAAGAGAGACGCCGCCATACACATACAGAGCTGGTTCAGAATGATCAGGTATCCATTTTTTTCTCACCCAGGGATTTCGAAACTGGAATTTCTCTTTCAACAGAGTAAGGATACCGTTCTTACAGCTAAGAGATGCTGTCATCCTCTGCCAAGTTAGTCACACGTTGCACCAATGGAGTATATTAGCTAATACTGGTCGTTCAATACAGGCACTTTATCGCGGTCGTGTGGCCAGAAGGCTTCTTCCTCAGTGGAGGAGAGACAAACAGATAAAAGATGTATGCAAATGCAACAGCAGTTGTTAGGTACAAATTCATAACTCCATCTTTTGCTCTTGTGCAGCAGCAAAGAAAAAAGATTGCAGGCTGGAAAAAGAAAGGCACGCTCTCAGGTAATAAAATTTCAATGGTAAAACCACCAGCAGGTCATTTGCTTTACTTTACATCACAGCTCTAAAGTTCTACGAAGTCAAAGTAAGTAGCCCCACTTGTAGTTGCTATAATAATCTATCGTGACTGGTGTATGCATGTGTGTGGTGTGTGTGTGTGTGTGTGTGTGGTTGTGTGTGGTAGGGATATGGGTTTGCAGAAGTGGAGCAACTGTATGGCCTGGAGACAATGAGAAGTGCTGCAGACCAGCTAAAGAAACTGTACGGAGGAAAAGGAAAGATGAGACTTAAGATCTTCATCTCCGTCAAGGGCATAAAACTCTGTGACCATCATACTAGGGTGAGCTCAGATACAGTTAGTCTGTGGTGAAGTATGCAAGTATGAAGACTATTTGTGGCACAGGTTCATTTTGCTACAGTCAAGATCTCCAGCGTCTCTTTCTGCACTTTGGACCCCAAGAACAAGAAGTTGTTTGCGTTTATCAATCGCAAGAAACGGCGAAATTTCTGCCACGTCTTCCAATGCAATGAACACGACGTAAGCCTCCAATTATCATACCCGTTACTCCATTTCTTCTTCACTCATAATTATAGGCGCAAAAGATGGTTGAGACTATGGCAGAAGCATTTGAAGTGACGTTCAAACAACTCGAGCAGAAGAGACAAAAGATAGTGGTAAGATATCGTGCAACCGTCCACTAAAGTGTTATCATTATTCACACCTATTAAAACATAGACGGAGAGATCACGAGAGTCGCGGCTTTCTCAGAGGCCAAGACAACTCAACAGAGTCACAAAGGAGGAAATTGTGAGTTCAGGAAATAGGTAGTGCGGTAACATCCGATCATGCAGCCTAACTCGGGTGTCGTTGATCTGTTTGCTGGGACTTGCTTTGCTTTCTATCTCACTTATGATTCATGACTGGTGGACCATCAACAGCAACACCAGTCCCAGGAGTTGGATATAGAGGTGGCCAGTATGATGGAAATGGCCGAGACAGCCAGCTCCACCAATGCACCAATCGCGTCCCACAAACAAGAGGTAAATTCAAGAGCAAGTTGGTCAAATACGCCTCCTGAAAATGATCAACGTGTATGTATGTGTGGGGAGGACAGGTAATACGCAGCTCCAGTGACCAAGTTCCACTCGGACAAAGGGAGAATAGGAAAGACGTAAGTGCTTGCCATTGAAAACCACTCTCAGAAGTGATCTTACCCTTGCACTCATGCTTTACGCTCTACCAAAGTTTTACATTAGCAGCGTCTCTTACATGCAGAGATTGAAAGACAGTTCTAGTCTTCTCACTTCTCAACAGCACAGCCCCCAACGAAGTACAGGTAAGTGTCGTTCACTTCAAGAGTGCTTTGTTCTTGCTACCAATTGCAACAACCTGGCCAGCCCCCTAACATGTGTCACATAGAATGCCACTCGTGTTGAAAGCCATTTCACTGACACCAAAAACAAGATGAAAGAGATGTCACAAGACCTCGAATCTGTGAGTACTAACAATAGTAGGATGATGTCACTTGTTCTATAAATAACACTCGGCTCTTTCAACAGCATAGCTGACAAGTATCAAAGAGTCATTACAAAGACTCCAATCTCTAACACACAGGCACTATCATTTCATGTGTATTGTATACCATTAAACTGAAAGTATTCTCCACTGTTGGTCCCTCTGTTATGTTTTCTGTGTCCGTTTCAATTGTGGTTTTATACGGCAACAACAACAACACTGCAAATAAACAGTTGGCACACAAAAACATAGGCAGCAGTTGGTGCATTAAGTACCTATAAACACGTACATACGCAATGTGATTTGTCACACAAACCACTATGAGAGATATGTTATTGCGCGAGTTAGTCAGTCGGCAAAGCCTTCCATCTCGTTCTCTTGTTTCCTGTACTTGCTGTGGAGGAGGTTGAATCCCCTGCGTCGAGTCCGGCAGAACCTCACCACCAGGACCAGGACCATGGTACAGATCATGCCCACAATGAACATGACTATCGCGATTGCTGCAGCAGCCCCACTCGATACACCACTGCTAGAACTGGAAGAGGACACACCAGGACACTCTGTTGGCTCTGTTTTGTGCATAAAGAGAAATGTATCAAAGACCTTCCGATTATAAAGCAGGCCATACACGCGGCAACTTTGTTGCTTTAACAAAAGTTGCAGCAACTTCCAAAGTATTGGTGTGGTGGGGCCAGGCAACAAGTTGCCAGAAAAAGAGAAGCCATCTATTTCTGGCAACGGGGCCCATCGTATCAATACACTTCGAAGTTGCTGCAACCTTGGTGCCGCATGTATGGCCTGCTTTAAGGACACCTCTCCATAAAGGACACTTGGGTTCTGCCTCAAATTTAATTATTACGTCCTATCAAAGGGACATCGCTGAATACAGGAACCTTTTTTGTACCCAAGGTGTTGCTTTATTCACAGTGTTACTGTATAATATGTGTAAGAACTCACCAGAAGTGGTGGGGCAAACAGGGTCCACTCTCACCCAGCACGGCCTCACTTTCTCTCCACTCGAGGGCAGCTGGATGGTAAAGGGAAAACAGTCGTCTGAGGTGGTGAAGCTCCGCAGATCTTGGAGGACGTCATCAGGAGATTGGGGATCGGGGTAGTCAGCAGCCGATGGCACGGGAAGAATTTGCAGAGTGACGTAAATGTACTTGTCGTCTTCACCGACAACCTGCGAAGTGCAACCAAAGATTGTTTGTTCCAGCACTAGTGCCTAAGTGGGTGATACATTTTGGTACTCAGCTGCACAGCTGCACTAAAAAGCTCCTGCATATGGTATACAGTGTGGTAAGTGCCAGTTTTGTAGGCTTACTCTACTCAGCCCAGTGTATTCCAGCAGTCATGTGCCTATAATATGCTCTTTTGTACCTATTTCCTGTACTCTGAGTGTCAGAAAATACCCTCCCGTTCAGTTTTACTACACCACCCCTCCCACTTCTATGGAGCTGTACTTACCTCAATGCTTGCAACCTGCAGCAGTGATATATTGGCGTATTCAGTTAGCCCGAGTCGTATGCTCCTGCGCAGTTGCCCGATGTCTGCCCCGAATTCGTGTCCCGGAATCTTCATTGAGATTATCCTATACTGGCCCGGTTGGGCGCAGAAAGACGTGTCGAAAACATCAAAGTCGGGCTCTGTAGTTGAAAAATCGTAAAAGGTGGAAAAAGAAGAGAGGCTGGTTGATTTCCCGCAGTCATCACCGTCATAGCACAGTGTACCAGTCAGGTTAATGGCCAGGGGGACTGGTGCGGTCTCATTAGAGAGAAGACTGGAGATAGTGGACCCAGGTCGAGAGTAAAACAGCTCCACCGTTCCGTTCACGACTTTGGAACCGAGATTCAACGGGAATGAGTCTCTGACCGAGATCCACGCCTCGGCCTCAATCCCTCGTATCTTGGTCACCCCTTCGTATGAGAAGTTGTATCCGGCCCCCACGCGGAAGAATTCCGTCGGAGTTCGCATTCTTTTGGCCCCGTCTGGTCCACCTGCGATGTCATATGACGAGAAGTTCAGATTAGCGATTGAATCGACGGAGCAGTTGCTCAGGCGCCTGTTGATAAAGTACTGGAGGCCGAGTTCAAAGTCGTGGATGACAGAGTACGGGGTGCTCTCATAGAGAAAATCAACTCTAAACAGTTGCGTGTCGTAAAACTCCTGCATAAGGAAAAATACACTCTATAGATTCACGGGCAATCCACTAAACAATGGGGACACAGTGCCCATTTATCACCCCATTTGTGTAAGCTTTCAGTGCCATGACCACAAAAAAGAATATTTTCCCCAAGAGGCTCTCACCCTTTCAGTTGTGACTGTATTGGCATCCACCACCCTCTCAATGTGCATACTGAAGTACTGAGGCACTTGAGGGAGATCTTTGCCTGAGATCCGGCCCAGACAAGGCAGCCCCGTCGGGACCTCAAACGCAGAGTCTGGTACTGCACTCGGACCACTGTGGAACCCGAAAAAGCTGTAAGTGTTTCTGACTCACTCAGGGTTCCATCGTCTTCGAGACTGGCTTCGTGCACATTGATTTGGACGGGAATAGTCGCCTCCCCGGGAAAGTAATAGTTCCATTCTGACGACGAAAAATAGTAGGTGACCGTATAGGAAAGGTTGTCAAAGTTGTGGCACGTTTCCCAGCAATCGCAGAGGATTCCTCGCAGTTTCTTTTGCGGGCAATTCCTTGCTGACTGGTTGCCTGCCAGGTCAAAAATTCCCTTCACGCTGCCAACGTGAATACTCCCGTTCACATATCTGAAACGAAAAAGACTGTCGTTGAGAAACGAGGAAGGTTCTTCGAGTGACTTTACTCCACACGCCACGTTTCTCTCCCGGTCGGGGATAAGGAAGGCCTCTCCCAGATCATAGTCATATATTTCCACACCAGGCTCTCCCGAGTCCTCCAAAACGTAGTCCAGTCTAGCCCTGTTACCCGGGTCGTCGTAATGCTCCGAAAAAACGTAGGAGCGGTTCTCCTCCGAGTAGCTGAACTCGAACGCGGTGTAAAACTGATTGGGGAGCGTCGGGATCGGCGGGTACGGCGTCTGCGAGTAACTCTCTTCGCTGCACACGGGAATGTAGTCGGGTGTGAGGGGCCCCGAGCCGCTGCCGACGCCGCTCTGCTGCGACGACACTACGGAGCAGCAAACAACTGCAGTCAAGACCGCGAGCACGGCAGTAGTGGACGGCATCTCGGAATCAATGCGACTGTGTCAACTCACTCCTCATTTTATAGTAGCGACCTGCAAAAAATAACCCCGTGTGCGGTGCGCGAGTGCAAAATAAACGAAACCCATGACAAACATCACTTACCCAGCACGTGTGCTGACGACATGTGACTTCCGTATACTACGGGTTTACGGGTGGTAGTCATGGCAACTCCGCGAAATTCTTGCGCGCGAAGGATCGGGGGGTATGGTCTTGTACCGCGTATACAGCGAGCCACAGCTCAGAGACTACTATACCACCGTGTGCAGCCGTGCCACACTTTTTCTGGTGGCGATCTACGGCCTCGTTCTCGTTCCACCGGCTCTCATTGCCTACGCGACGAACAGTAAGTCCGCGAAGTTCTAATTGATGCGCACCGCACACGTTGTATCATTCGTTTTGTCCACCTCAAAGATAATTTGCACGTCTGTTCGAACGTCCTGCCCAGATTTTTGGAGGACAACCGGCAGCTATCGCGAGCAACCCAATGTGCACTATTTGAATCAGTCCATCTTGTTGCTGGGGGGAGAGGGGGGTGGGGCTGGGGTCGCCTGGAGCTCTCTACCGAACTACGTCCCTCCTCCAGCGATTGAGCTGCTTCCAGAACCTCTCAACATCACAGTAGGCCCACACTAACACTCTACTGTTCATTGACACTCATTGTACGAACATTGATCTCTAGATATCAGAGGAAGACACTGATAGTGATGGAAAGAGCGAAAATCTGATGTTGGTTCTTGATTTTCCTTCCCCAACTCTCAATGTCACGTCAGTCCACCTACTCCTCTTCTTTAGGGTCCAGCTATCAGTGAGTGCCCCATACACGTATAATCCCCACGGCTAAAGCAGGAAACTTTCCCCGAGAAAACGCTCTGAAAATGTTTTATCTGCGAAAATATAATGTGGATGTCAATTTTTACATACAAATCCTATACCAAAACATCTCCCCATTGTACACAGTTTTTCTCTCCATTTTACCCAGGCTTATTCATCAGTGGACATGCAGTCAGTAGCCTACGTCTCACACTCGGCTCGCTGGCCACACCCAGCGGGATCTGGGTGGGCGGAGACTTTAGCCTCAACCAGCGTCGACCCCTCCGGGCCAGTGGGCGGAGTCACAGCTACGACTCTCTACTCAACACCAGTAGTCAGTCGTGGGAAGACTACCAACTGAGCAGCATTCTCTCTAACTACCACCGCAGAGAATGTGAGGCTGCGTCGATAACCTGCTTGAATAATTATGATTCCACCACTTTCTATATATAATATATATTATATATATATATATATATATATAGACATAAAATTACAGGGGGGAACCTGGAATAATGACTGGTTGTAGGTGTCACATTTGTGCACTTCTATCATGACTTGCACAAACCACTCTGTCAACTTTTGTTTCCTCGCATTTTGTTCTCCAGTGACGACAGTGTTACACCCAGTATACCCAGTGTGGCAGTATGACTCCAGTGGAGGAGGATTTAGACTGCAGGCCGACATCCACTACACCTCCCAAACCTTACTATATCCTCCTCAAATGCATTACCTCTACATAGAAATAGTAAACTGAGGTAATGGGCGAAGAATCTGTGCCAACACTTAGGCACTCATTTCCCCACCAAACAGTGAAACTGAGAGAAAAGTCTCAATGTGTGCATTCCTTGCATCTGTAAGCAACAATTTGCCACTGGCAGTGCCTCAACCTTTCCCCTGCACAAAACAGACAAAACTCTCTCCTTTCATGTAACACTGGCCCATCCATTTGTGAATAGTTGCACAGTGTATCCATGGTATATATGGTGGCCTTCAGGCAACTGCACTATTCTCAATTCTCTGTTCATGCAATACACAGAAGTAAGCCTCCAGTTATTGCTCCCTGACTCCAGTGCCCACGTACAGACCGGCCTTCTGGGAGCGACTGAAGTGGGCCTGGGTACAGTACCTGCCCATCGCCCTACTGTTCTGGTTCTCACTGTCTCAAGTCAAATCCTTTGTCTTCCAGAACCACATAGTACCCACCATAAAGCCCTATTCACACTAACACAATCACGTCTTTTTGTACTGATGCTATGTGACCAATAGTCTCTGGTGTAAACAGATCTCTATTCACAAGATAGTGTGACCTCTACCGATTGTCCTCTATTACAATGGTCCTCATTGGTCCACCGTCCAACTCAACGAAAAGAAACCTCAACTCATACTTTCCCCGCTCATTCTGTGGCATAAATAGACTCTGCTGCTTGCATAGCAGTCGAAGCTAGATTAAAACTCACCTTTTTCATGTCCAGTTGAACCGTCCCACTTCTCAGGGAGCCTTTCACATAGAACTTCATCCTCATGTAGGTTACACCTTCCACCACATACTCCTGGTGTCTTCATAACACAAAAAACTCACAATTAGCCAGTTTATATACTTTAACTACCCATACTGGCGTACAGTGGTTCTCTCCTTCTGCCTCTGCCCCTCAGCTCTCCATGACCTGATATTGGCCCTCCTAGTGCCTCTACCACCTCCATACAAATATCAACACAAGATCACAAACGTGGTATATACGATGTACCAAGGCTTACGTGTGGATCTAGTCTCACTCTCTTGAGGGCCTTGCTGTAGACGGTCTGAGGGGAGTTGGAGGAGAAGAACTCGCTGCCAACCGACCACAGGAGGAACCCGGCCACGGCAAAACCACCAAGAACTACCAGAAGATAGGTGAAGTCTTTCCCCGCCTGAACCACTGCATAGGCGAGGGGAAATGAGAGTTTCACTTGAGGTGGGGATTTTCATTACCTTTAGCTCCTACCGTCAGTTGCGTAGGCCGGGGTTTTTCTTTAACGTTCATTAGTTCGTTCAGTACTGAGCCATGCTCCTGGTTTTTGCGAGTCACTTTCGACCGTTTTTCTTTAGCCTCGGTAGACAGACGGGCAGCACTGCGTGGTAGTTTGGAGACATCTCTCAGCGCTCTCTTTTCCAAGTGGACGAGGAAGAAGGAGGTTTCTCCCGCTTTAGAGCATTCTGAAAGCCGTGGAGAAGAGTGCAGCAGGCGAGCTAAAACTCTAAATAATGCCATCTTCTGCTAGTGTGCATCAATTAGAGCAAGGGATTCGTAGCAGAAAGGGGAAAATGTGCGTTCATGGGCATGATTTTCACAGCCAGATAGTCAGCATTTCCTTGAAGAAATATAGCGAACTGCCGAGGAGAGGAAAGCCAAGATCGAAAGAAGAATGGACACCTCTTTCTGCATTTATTTTGTCATCAGGTTGTCCAGCTTTCGGAATGGGACGAACCGATATTGTCCCGTTTTCCAATACCAGGCCAGGAGTTGACTGTAGTTTCGCTTGGAACAGGCTCAAAGTGCATTGGAAAGGGCAAGATGAGCCCTGAAGGTAAAAACTGTTTATGAATTGTGAGTGAAATGTACTATAGCTATATTACTACAGGGTGGATTGTAAATGACAGTCATGCAGAGGTGGTTGCTCGAAGATGTTTTGTGAGGTGAACCCAATTCTCTCTCTCTCTACAAAATCAAAAGGTGTGCTTGTTTCCAGGTACCTGATGCATCAGGTACTAATGGCAGCTCAGGCAAAGGAGTCAATATTTGAGGCCGTAACAACGAAAACACCAGGTGGAGAGGGGGAGGTGTTGTATGCACTGAGACCAGGACTAACCTTTCACTTCTTTTCCAGCCAATCGCCATGTAAGCTCGCAATTTTTTGGTGTTAACTTCAAATTTTCAATAGGTGGAGATGCTTCAATATTCCCTCGGTGTACCGCCGCTAAAAGAAAGCATGAAGTTGACGATAGTATTTGCAGCACAAAAAAGAAGGCCAAGAGTGAGACAAGTCAAACTTTGGAAAATTCCGACTCTTTATTCAGCCCTTGGGTTGAGAGAGAATGTCCTGGTGGTAGTGAAGAGGCCAGGGATACTAGTGCAGTTCCTGATATCCATCGCACTGGTGCGAAGTGTGTGAGGGGAGGAGCTCAGGACGAGAGGCGAGCTGGAGTCGACTACCATACTGTGGGTGCCCTCCGGACCAAGCCCGGGCGGGGCAACCCCACCCTCTCCATGTCGTGCAGCGACAAACTGATGCGGTGGACTGTGCTGGGGACCCAGGGAGCTCTCCTCTCTCACCTCCTTGCCTCGCCCGTCTACCTCAGCTCTGTTACCATGTGTGGAGAGGTTTTCAGTGAGTGCTCCGCCCAGCGTGCCCTCTGCAAGCGAACAGAGACACTGAGGCTAAGTGAGACAGTGCAAAGCAGTGGCTACTGTGTTCATTTGCCTGAAATAGCTCACGTGAGGGCGCCTTCAGATGAACTAGCTGAGGTGTGGAAAGAGGTGGCAATTTCCGAAGAAAGTTCTAAGAAGCTAGCCCCTGGAGGTATTGGCTATTAGCAGTACAGTATTAGAATGCAATGAGGGTGTTGCTTGCAGCTATATGCTGGGCTAAAACTGGGGCAGGTGCAGAGGTGTTGGTCCAGGGACTCAGACAGGGATGGAACGCCAAGAAGCCTCCAACCAGATCAGCCAGGCAAGTACAGTATTCATATCTGGATGATGGCTGGAAATAAAGTATGGTCTTTACTTACTAATACTGATTTACAGTGTGTCTATATGCAAGAGGAGAATCTATGAAGATTTTGAAGTTCTGTTGACTCATTTGTCTTCCCTCCCATTCTCATTGAGGTTGGCTTGTACTGCTGTATCTATACATGTTGTGTATTGAAGTTCTGCTGCAGATCTCAGGATGCTAGGAAGTGCTATTACGAGACAAAACGTGCAGCGGTGAAATACTGGACAGCTAGGGAAGAATTTCTGGAGCATTTCCCGACTTGGTATGTGTGTGACGGAAGTGTCCACGAGATGTTTGATGGCCCAGGTGGCAGCAAATCTTCGTCCCCTACGGCTGGACAGTGAAACAATATGCTGCATAACAGCTGTATTTTGTAATGGGTGGACTTTAACGGTGGGGTTTTATGTGAACACGATATCCCCCTGGCTAGGCTGTGCATGCTCGCGCGCGCACACTATACCTACCCTCACCTGCGCATGCGCGTAAAATGGTTTAGATAGGAGGCTCGGTCGATCGACGATGGAGAAGAGCGTGGTGTATCAGGAGACGGTCGTTCTCCTTGAGCAGCAGGCCGTGTTTGGACGCGGCCTTCACGATTGTCGGTCCGCGAGAGGCAGAGAAGAGGCGGGAAGAGGTAGTCGCCATCTTCTGCAAGCAACGGATGCCCAGCATCACGGCCGAGTTTCTGGACAAGTTTCCCAACCTCCGCGTGGTGAGCACGCACAGTGCGGGCTGGCTACGAGAACATCGACGTGGAGGCGTGCAAGTGGCGCGGGGTTCGTATCGGCACAGTAGGCGGGGCGCTCAGCAGCTCCACTGCGGACATGGCTTTCGCTCTGCTCCTAGCGTCCGCTCGTCGAGTTGTGGAACTGCACGCCGTCGCGACGAGCCCTAACTGGACGGTGCTAGACGACAATCTAGGGGTTGAAGTCAGCGGCGGGGTGCTGGGGATAGTAGGAATGGGTAGGATAGGACTGGAGGTAGCAAAAAGAGGTCGAGGATTCGACATGACGATTCTCTATCACAACAGAAATAGGAGACCCAAAGACATCGAAGATAGCGTGAGTGCAACATACGTCCCCTCCCTCCACGAACTACTGTCTCGAGCCGACTTTGTAGTGGCCGCAGCTCCGGGGACCAAAGAGAATTACCACATGTTTGACTCTCGCGAGTTTGCTGCAATGAAAACCAACGCCGTGTTTGTGAACATCGGGCGAGGGAGTCTGGTGGACCACCACGCCCTGGCAGGGGCGCTGCAGAGAGGCGAGATTGGCTCTGCTGGTCTAGACGTGACAGAACCAGAACCTCTGCCTCGAGACCACCCTCTCCTCTCTCTAGACAATGTCATCATCACCCCGCACAGAGGTATATATACGTATGCTGCAAAACTAGTTGTACCAATCATTGCTAACTCATCCCTCATCACTGTAGGGAGTGCAACAATGAAGTGCAGAATGAGGATGATACACACAGCAGTGAAGAACATTCAGGCAGCCCTCAATGACGAACCAATGCCTAGTGAAATCACCTCCTAGCTTCAATGTAATTATCATTGTGTTTGCAAAACGCCAAGTGTAACAATGAGGATAGTTTTCTCCTACCATCCTCGACCTGCATGAAAAAGTATTTTGTGCCATGACTCGCCGGTGTGAATGCGTCAAATACCTCTTCCCCTGCCTCTTGAGAAACCTCCCCGGAACCCCCTGCCTCCTCCTCTTCCCCCGAATCCCCCTCTCCCCCCTCCACGGAAACCTCCTCCTCGTCCAAACCCACCACGACCCCCTCTCCCTCTTGGCCCCCCTGTAAATTACACACAACGAGCACGATATCCAACACTCCTATACTTTACTCACCCCCTCGTCCACCGCCGCGTTTCTCGACTTTACCAGATGCAGCTGGACCAAAACACACACACTGCATGCAGCTCTTCCAAACATCTATATGCTTACTCTTTGGTCGAGGAAGAAATCTTCCAAGTGGCAGCAGCTTCATTGGATCTATGAAGAACTGGAAAAAAAGAACAGTGCATATTGTAGATTGGCCTCTACTAAGTTTCCATACTTTTTGTTCCGATTTGAACGAGGTAGCTTTCATGTCTGGGAGCAGCTTCACAGAAAAGTACTGCAGGAAGGAAAGAAACCAGGGAATCACGGAACAGTTTTTCCCTACAAAAATGTATTACATATGAGTTCATTGGCCCAAATATCTCGTCCACTTTGCCAATCTGCGACTTGTTCTCCAGGTAGATTGGGGCATTGAAGTACGGGACCTTCTCAATACTGCCCTTGCACACCAGATCCTCCTCGCAGGGATGCACAAAAGATCCCACCTCTGAAAAAATGAGACATGAAAGGGCATAGGGTGGGACCTCAGTGGTATCTGGTTTACCGGTGACGTATTCAGGAGGACCATAGTCATAGTGCTGAAACCTTCCGCCTCTCCCTCCTCCTCTACCTCTACCTCCTCGGCCCCTGCCGCCTCCCCTGCCTCCTCCTCGACCTCTGAAAGACATGGTGGTATGTTGACACGTACGTACACACGCGTGTGGATTCCTCCCGCGCATGCGCATTATTTCCTATATGTGACGTAATTCGTATCACATGACGACGCACTTGTCGTTTTGATCAAGGTCAAAGGAAAAGTAGTAGAGGACAATCAGACAGGGAGCTGTTGTCTGGAACCTTCAAACTGTGACTAGCTAATCATGAAGTGGCAGTATAAGGAAGCAAAGCCGTTCGGTAAGGAGGGGCGCGCCTTTGTCTGATAAAGTCTTTGTCTTACCTACGCGGACGCGCGCACTAGACTCTCGCAGAGCGGTATGATATAAGTAGTCGACAAGGACTCTCTCTCTCTCTCTCTGTCGCTTTCAACAGAGGTTCGGGCAGCAGAAGCGACAAGGATCAGAGAAAAGCATCCAGACAGAGTCCCTGTAAGAGAAGCTATGTTCACAGTGTGATCTATAATCCCATGACCTTTAGAATAGATCATACCATTGGTTGTTATGACAGTATATAACGAGCCTTTGCACTCCACTGGACATTGTAATGGTGCACAATGAATAAAGTACCATTAGCTACACACTGATGAGGTGTCAGTGTTTTTATGCCAGTCACCTGTAACACAAAAACAGGTGATAGTGGAGAAGGTAAATGGAGCAAGGATTGCCGATCTGGACAGAAATAAATACCTCGTCCCTGGTGACCTTACAGGTGTGTACTACATTTTTTTTGTATACAAACACACATCCCTCGATGCTATATACTCACCTTCTAAAGCCACCACCATTGTATCCACACAATTGCATGGTTTTCAGCAATGCTTCAGATAATCCTTACGCTGCTCTACGACTAGTTCTGATGACTGATGTATTTATGCTGTTGTGCATCTCATGTTGTAGTGGCACAGTTCATGCATGTCCTGAGACAGAGAATCCAGCTGGGGGCCACTGAGAGCATCTTCCTCATGGTGAATGGTGTAGCACCCACCACAGGGTGAGTCGGATCACTTACTACACCAGTCATGATGATACTAGCTGCATGCATGAACTTGAGGGAGAAAGCTCTTGTGGCTGGGAAATCCCATTAAGTTTCATACACTGAATTTTTCCTCAAACCATGAATTATTATTTTTATTTTACATTTCCAATGTTCGGTATATCATCTCTCTATATCCCCACCACTCCATTCTCCTCTCTGTTTTATTCTCTCTTACTATATAGTTCCAGCATGTCGGGGATATATCAGCAACATAAGGACGACGATGGTTTTCTGTACATGGCCTACAGTGGCGAGAACAGCATGGGATAAGTGGCCAACAGCCCACAGACCCCGTCCCGTTATATACACACTTTTATCTCCCGCACTACTTTTATAAGAGAAAAGTTTTTAATCTCTCCCATTTGTTGTGTGATTAACATTGAAATTATTACATCATGCTGTTGCTATTAATAGCCCAGTCTCCCGAGCATGAAGTAGACTTTGATCTTTGGTAGTCTGAAGCAGTCACTACTAGGATTCATTATAAAAATTCCCAGGGAATTATTCCCCGGGCAATACCCTACATTCTTTACATTAGCTATCTATATAATCCATGCTGCTTCGGTAGAGGCTTAGTTTAGTGCAGAGCTATCTGAAGAAAGGTTGGCTGGAGAATTATCTCTTTGGTTGGTGTGGAATAGGGTTGGCAGCCATGGCTGGAAAAGCCATAACATCTATTATCATAGGTAAGACTGCACAGTAGGAGAAGGTGAATGTATGCAGAATGTTAAGGGTACACTGTTTTTGCCTTTATTAAAGGCAGATATGTTATATATAGCTATTACTCGTGGATTGGTGCATGTAAGCTACATGACATACGGATTTGTGCATGTAATGTGTCAGTATAAGAGCTACATGACTCTCTAATACAGCACCCAGATAAGTGTGCCTCTGTTCTTTCATTGCCAGGGTACTTACTCACTGTTTTGTGTGCCACATCACTGGAAGAGCTACGTATACGTCGCCAGAGAGAAAGCAACAGCAACAGAGTCACACTTTTGTGCGAAAACGAATCTGCAAACGTCTTCATATCGAACGCCGAGTTCTGGAGGAACTCTACCCACAAGATTACCAACTTTACATACGGTCTCTATAACTTCTTAGTCAATGCCTCAGCGACAATCTCCCTGACCCCACAAGACGAAGGCAACTATTCATGCGGAGATCCAAAGAAGGGTATTACCAGCTCCAACCACATCGTCCTGCTTGGTATGTGAATCTGGGTATAGCTGGAGTATTAGTCAAAACTGATGTTTTTGTCCAGCCATGTGGGGGAAGGCCTGTACTTGCCACCCAGCTGCAGCGAAATGAGAGCCCTAGCTGCTTTGAATCCATACTTTAAAAACTCCCAAATCTGTTTCTAGACTACTATAATGGGATTACCTTACTACTATAGCCCTTTGACCCTTTACCTGCTGTCTCCTTACAGCTTACCCCATGGAGAGGCCAAACAGTCAGTATTCCTACGAAGCTCAACTTGGCCAAAACACGAAAATGTCGTGTCCCTTCCCTCGTGGAGCTCTCAGTCGCTTCTACTCCCACAAGTGGTCCAGAGGCTTTCGAGTCCTGACCACTGGCGATCACTACTTCCTCAACGAAGAGACTTTTGAGCTCACAATACTCAACACCAGTTTTGACGACAACACTACTGGTCCAGACGATAGCTACACGTGTGAGGTTAGAATCGAACCTCCGCCTGGTAATGGAAACCCATGGAGCAAATCAAGTGGGCCCATAAGTCTACTAGTCATCAATGAGACAAGGGATCCACTGAGTGACGTAGGTAAGTTCCATCTCATAATTCACAAACACACATCACATTCGGTATTATTGTAGGTGTGTCAACTGTACTACCAACCTTAGCACCATCGCCGTCTCCCACACTCCTTATAAACCATGCAAGTGAAGACAGAGAGGACACTGACATTGTCGCAATAGTTGTCGGGACAATTATTGCTTCCCTGATTGCAATCATTTGCGTTGTCGGTGTAGTATGCTTCAGTTTGGGAAGAAGAAAGATTGCCAATAGAAGAAATTCAGGGGACATGGACTCGACTGCCGGCAACTATGACGAAGAGAGATCTCATGCTAGCACGGCCCGGCTCTCTGATGCAGACACAACACCTCGAGTGAGCAACTACGCTCTCACATGTCTCTCCAATATGTCAAACGGTAACCCTCAGAGCCCACCCCTTCACACTCCAACTCCAAATAACGGGCAGAGAATAAGTGCGGAGACGTTGTCTCACTGCTGTTCGGAGCACAGGACGGCCAACACAGCGAATAGCTACTGCAGCAGTCTTTACAAGAAGGCACTAGAGCCCACAAGTGACTACACAGCCAGTGGAGACGTGGAGTTTGTGGGGTCGATACAGGTGATAGACTGCGACCGCCAGGGAGGCGAGTACAACAACAAGGAGCACGCAGTAAAAGTCAGCATTCCCAGAGAATCCTTCAACAGAGACGGCACCGCTCGAGAGTCAATAGAGCTCGAAATAGGGGTAGCAATACACGGTCACTTCAAGTTTCCTGACGACTGGAGGCCGGTTTCACCAATCCTATGGCTCCACACCGCCGAAGATTTCAGCTACGAGTTCGGCAAAAACATTGACGTGGAACTGCCCCACTTTCTGCAGCTGGGTGGGAAGGAGGAAATCGCTTCAATGTCAAAAGCACAGCAGCTGGGGTGGATGTTTGCCTACTTTAACCCAGACGAGACGCACTTGGAGCCAATTGTGTTTGTGCTGGGCGACGCCAGGCTCTTTCGTTTCCTGCAGCGCAGCGGGAAAGTCCTCACCAAGCGAGGTTGCTACATGTGCCTCTGTGCCAGAGACACAGTCGTAAAGAACCACAGCACCTATTGCCTGGTGTTTGTCGGTCCAAAAACCACTGTCTCAGTCATCAGAGCAGAACATCTTCTTATTCGTTTGCTATCACCTCAACACATTCCTTGAGGTGGGTTGATCAATATTACTAACATTATTCATTGTGTGGTTCCTCTCACTGCGTCTGAATGTTTTTTCTCTCTCTCTGCAGGTTATCAAAGAGGAGCTTAAATCGTTGGGGAATTTCTCGCAGCACCAGTTTGTATTCACTTCAGACACTTCCGAGTCGCAGGAGGAGGCCAAGATAGCGATTAGTTTTGGCAGTAAGTCGGCATCAAAAGGCTGGCAACTCACCCTTCACGCAGACACACCAGAGGTGAGTCTTACTAACATGAGCAGTGTATATACACATTCACTCTACTCTTTGCTATTATGGTGTCCAGGTATCAGCAAAAGCAGTGGAGTTGTGGGAAGATGACGTGAGTGACCTTCGCCTTCGACGGCAGCGCAAGCGCTATCCTCCTAGGGTCAAGATCGGAGCCACACACAGCGGCAAGGCGCAGAACACTCACGAAGTTTTTACTATCAGTGGAGCTAGATTCTTAGATAGAGATAGGAAAAAGGGTACAATACAAGTTCCACTTGTAGTGAATTAATTGTGTGATGAGATTTTTTGCTGGGAGCCTATCCTGGGGGTTTTCCCCAAGGGAATTGAGCGACAGTTAGAAATGAAGCGCCTTCTAATCCTTCTTCTATGGCAAACCCACTGGTACAGTACCAGACTCTGGATCCACGCGAGAAGTGTCCCGAGGTCGAGCGGCCACGTTGGCTTGCTGGCCAACTTCACCGTGGACACGGATCGTCGTGTGGAACTGCTGCGTCGCTTAAATCCTAACCTGGTCACTCTGTCCTGTCGGAATCAGTCCACTCTAACGGTCCTGGCCGAGGCTGACTTTTGGGTCACCCACGACCCTGCATCCGAGTCAGCCGTTCCTGTAGAACTCACCGCTACACTCGAGTCGGCCGCCGTTCCTTACCACTACCCCAGCCTTCTGGCTGAAATCGCCTTTAGGATGCAGCCAGACATAGAGGGGTATTTCTTCTGCGGCGATCTCCAGTCCATGATCCGCAGTGAAAACAGTGCCATTTTACTTGGTAGCCCTCTCAGCTAGCTGGCTAGATAGACATTCATTACTTGCCACTTTTCTTCCAGCCTATCCTGCTCCTCATGATAACTACGTGGACTGCTACCCAGCAAATGTTAACCAGTCCATCGTTCTCAACTGCCCATTTCAGAGAGGGCTGCTCGAGCAGTTCTACACCTTTGTTTGGATCCGCCATGACTTTATGCTAGTGTTTGACAGTTCCACAGACTACCTCAGAGAAGGATTCACGGCGAACTCCAGTGATTTCTCACTCACTATACCAGAAGTATCTTATTCCCACCGAGGCAGGTATACATGCTGGCTGCAAGTGCACAACCCTGGAAGTAACACGTTCATCAGTCCTGCAATTTCACTTCGTCTTGAAATCGAGAGTATGTAAATTTGTGTGCATAGCTGCATGCATTTTTGTCTATGCTTAACCGTTACGATGGGAGTACTAGTGAAGCATGTATTTTGTGTTTACAGGAGGGAATTCCACACCCGAGGTGTGTCCTCAGCCAGTTGCTCAAACTACAGTCTTTTTCCGTACTAGTACTGGTACCTTTGTTACTCCGTCTGTCACTGTCAGCCCCATGAAAACTGAAAATAACTCTAGAACGGTGAAAATTTCAAACAAAAGAGTTACCTTCTATTTTCCAAAGGTTGCTATTATTTTCGTAACACTCTTGGGTGGTGTGATTATTGTAGCCTTGGTTTCCTGTGTACCCTACGGCCTATATCATAGGCGGAGAAAAAGAACTGTCAAATGGAAACCAAATGATCGTTCGAACCACAGAGCTAATGGTAACTCTTTTGAACGACCTACACCTTCCGGGGCAGATCTTCAAGCGAACAACTCAATCAACGAAAGCAACTCGTCCTCCAAAACTAGCGACTCACCATCCATAGCTCCGTCTCCAAATGTCTCATCCTATGCCTCATTGACCGGAAGCAGTGGCAGTGGCCCTCTACGTGAGGTATGCATTGCCGAGGTACACGATGTCAGTGGATCGTCTACCGTTAGCTCTTCATCTGAGCATGGTATGCTGGAACGTGCACCAAGTAGTACCATCATAGCCCAGTCAACCATCCCCAGTACAGGGATTGTCACTAGCAGCTCCATTGGAACTCTCGTACCAAACACACATGAGCCTGAATCGATTCAAGAACAAAGTGAAAACCCTCAACCGGAGCAAGAATGCACTTCTACACATACTCCTAACCACACACTGGAAGTATCCTCCCTACGCAATAGTAGCAGGATTGCCCCAGCCGATCTGCCCATCAAAACCCCACTACTCCACAGCAGCAGCAGACCTTCCACACCAAAGAGATACAGTGGACCCTCGAGCAGTGTGACGTCTGCCTTTCACTCTGGACTAACTATGAACCCATTGTCTCCTGGGAGCTATAGAACTTACGGTAGAAGTAACCCAGGCCAGAGCGCTGATACAATGGTACTCCTGCAACCCACAGAAGACTACCAAGACGACTCTAACAACTTCGTCTTTCTGGGGTCAACGCAAGTCCTCGTTTGTGATTCGCAGGGTGGAAAATACGAAGTTTCGGAGCAAGGGATATCAGTCCGGATACCGCCCAATGCACTGGATACGGAGGCACATATTGAGGTTGGTGTTGCCATCCACGGCTCCTTCAAGTTCCCCGCCAGCCGACAGCCTATATCAGCCATAGTGTGGCTAGTAGTTCGTGGAAATTCCGATTTCGTGTTCAGGAAACCAGTCGAGATTCAACTCCCTCACTTCCTGGACCTCTCCAACTCGGACATTGACGAGAAGGGAGACGAATTTGGACTGGGGTTCATTACCACAAATGAAGAAACAGACAGGCGCCAACAGCTCATCTTCACGGAAGGCCCGTCGGAGAACGTAGTCTACTTACAGAGATCTGCGAAAGTCATCATGGACCGCTTCTGCTTCGTGTGCCTCTCTGCAAAAGAGTCGGTCATTTCCGAGAGAAGTAAGTACCTTCTCACCCAAGTCTTCCACAATCCGACCAAGGCACTGCAGTGGGATTTTCATCTTTGTGTCTCGTATAACCTGGATTCATTTGCAAAGGTTTGACATTACTCTCAAAGTGTTAATCGTCAGTGTGTCATGATAATTTCTCATGTAGATGATTAGGGACCAGTACTCGAAGCAGAATCCAATGATAAAGTTTAAAGGAACACCTTTTAAGTTCGCACCATCTACTACCAAGGGTGCAGAGCTGCTGAGGATCAGAGTCAATTATGAAACGACTGCGAAAGGCTGGGTAATTGCATTTCAGAATAGTCAGAAGGTAAAAAAATATTGGTGTGGTAACAGTAGCGTGTTGAGTGCTATTTCTCCCCATAGGTAAAGAAGTCGGCAATACACGAAATATGGGAAAACGATGTCAGTGACCTGGAGGCAAAGTTGAAACTAAAAGCATACCCACCTAGGATAAGTGCCACTGTTTCTGGAGATGCAGCGTTCGATAATGTCAAGGCACTGGTCTCTTTTGAAGGGGCATTTGACCAAGAAAGCCTGGTGGGAGAAGTTCCCTTTGTACTTCCAAAGCAGTATGTTGGTGAGTGTCAAACCGAAACTGTGTATCTCACAAAAATTTAACCTATACCACAGATGAAAACAAGGAGAGGTTAAATTTCCTGCGCAGTCAATCTCTACCTACCCCAGATTCTACGACAGGCATGGAACTAGTTGCCTTCAATAAATCTTTGTCCGGACCTCCAAACGTCGCCGAACAACCTTCGGCAATACCCGACCAGCCGAACAACCTAGAGCTGGTCGAGGTGATGAAGATGATCCTGGCTAAGTTTACAAGCTGGCCAATCCTCATCCAAGCTCTTGGAATACCAGAGCACAGGGGCCAAGAGATACTCCAGGTGACCTTGTTTTACACATACTTCTAAGCCCAAGAGTATAATTATAGCTATATACTTTGCATTTACTGCAGGAAACGCAGGGAGTAAAGACACAGATACTTAAAATTCTGAACACGTGGGTGGAAATGCACACGTCCGACAGAACTTGCACACGAACCAATCTAGCCACTGTTCTCAGAAAAGTCGATGACAGTCTTATACCAGCCGCGAGACTATTAGAGAAAATTACCTATGGTATTGAATCATAGAATTTTTTTTATTGTGGTGGCAAAATTAGTCCAGTGATGATTTAGCTAGAGGTAAAGGACGGACAGTCCGTTGCCGGGTGTAGATGGCAATGATAGTGAGGACCACGCCCACAAACAGACTCAGGATTGTAGTGTTCCAGAATCCTGACTGACGACTGGCAACAAATCCCTCATACCTGCAGTATGGTAGAGAGAGAGAGAGAGAGAGAGAGAGAGAGTGGTGAAACTTTTTACTAGACCTTTCTTGCCCATAAAAAGTTTATGGTTGCCAATAAAATTATTGTAGGGTGGAGTTTTTTTGCCAGTTTCTATTAACAGGGTATGTACATTTCCTCACCGATCAGCACATGTGATGATGATGTCGTTCCATCCGTCGTCACTGAAATCGGCCAGAGTGGGAGGGGATATGGGTTGGCAGGGGAGTCTGAGGTAGGTGACCGTGGAGCCATCTCTCCCCGACAGGACCACCAGTCCACGCCAGCCCTGAATCAGTACCTGGTCCTGGAGGTATGAGACATGGGGAACCCTCAATTACTGACATTAGACCAGGGAACACCCTCAATTAGTGAGGTTAAATTGAAACTGAAACCTGGTTCTTGAGCCTAGACCAGGGATCACCCTTCATTACTGAGAACTCTTATGGAGACATTAGACCAGGGAACCCCCCATTAATTATGTACTGACAAAAACTAGTCCAGGGGATATTAGACCTACACCCTTAATTTATGGAAATGAAATTGAAACTGAAAGAGGTGAGGTGAGAGGCGACTGACTTTCTTGCCGAAGCTGGTCATGGAATGGGGCTGAGCTGAGGGTGTGAAGGCCTCGTGCAGGAACAGGAGGTGGTGCGGGTCCTGGTTCCATGATGGGTGCTTGGCGTTGTAGATGACCTCGGACGCTGGGTCCCAATCCCCCTTTGTATCCACCTGCAGCAGTTATTTATCCACCTAGACCACTGTGTGTGTGTAACCCCACAGCTTTTTGCAAATCGTTCACGAATGGCTAACTACTTCACCGTGTTGCTGCAATTAAGTTTCAAGTTTCACAAATGTAAGCCCCGAAAGCCTACACAGCAGAGTAAAAAATCAGTGAGAAGGGACCGGGGGAGGAAGGTTGAGTAATAAACATAGCCTTTGACCGTTGACCCACGACCCCAAGAGCACTGGGCGGAACCGATAGGACACGTATATAAATGCAGGAAGAAGATTATAAGTAGGAGAGATATATATATATACCTGCCAGTTGAATTCTCCCTTTGGTCCAATGCTCGTCACTCGTCCGCTGCTCAGAACAAAGACGCTGTCGTACACGGGGCCCTCGGGGTGTGGGGGCGGGGCTGGGGCGTCGACGACCTTTTGTCTGCGGGCGAGCCACTTGGTCCAGGAGTAGCCGGTGAGACCGAGGTGGAGCTTTACCGGACTGCTGTGGTAGACACTGGGGAGAATGGTGTTCACAATTATGCACTGTTGATAATGAAGAGGAAAAAGTCTTTCGTATGCACGACTGATGGTTAATAGGACACCTGTGAGTGCTGCAGCATATCATGAATCACAAGTGAGGCATGAAAGAAAGGAAATTCAAAGAACCAGGGAATGGAAAAGAAGACAGAGAGACAGACACAGAGAGGGTATAGATAGATACCTTTGAATGAGGACAGGTGGCAGGGGTTCCGTAATGTCGTGGTCTATTTTCTTCCTGCCAACCTTGTTCAGCTGAGGAAACCACTCTACAAGGGAGTGAGTGACGGATAATAGCAAGGAGAGTCACCGAGGGAGAGGAAGACTGACTGTCAGTGGCGATGAAGGTCTCGGTCCAGTGGGTTGCCTTGCATATAGAGTGTTTGAAGAGAGGCTGGGGTGGTGCGTGTGTGTGTGTGTGTGTGTGTATACGTGTAGAGAGAGAACGTAAAGATGGTGAAACAAACGGAGTTTACCTACTTTTGATCCGACCACCATTGGAAGGGCTTGGCCGTAACATCCCAGCTCATCCTCGGAATCTGCACAGATATCATGCATACAATCTCACAATTCAGTAAGTCCAACCCATACTCTGCGCCTGATGTGACTATACAACAGTAAGATCAAAGGCGTATAGTATTTTCCTCACCACTCGTCCGTGCCAACTGCACTAATTGTTAAAGAACTAAGACAGGCCTCACTTGCCAAAATTACGCCGAAAGAGAAAGAGTTTAAACAGAGGATAATTAAGACCTACCATCCATTGGGTTAACGACAGCCTGTACGTGGTCTATGGTCCCATCCCCATTCACGTCGACGTGGGTGGCGTGGTATGGGGACAGGGGGATGGTACACAGCGGTCTCCCCTGGTACAGATGGAGTACACTCACCCCCTGGGGTAATGAGGGGGTGGAGTCTCGCACCGTGATTTAACCCTTTGTGTTCTCACTTCTGCCGAGTGTACGATGAGAATGTTGGGGTCTTGGATGTGTTCGTCTGGTGAGTGGGGCCTCAGTCCACCGAATGCCAGCCCCGCTATATGATCCGCAGCCAGTCCACCAACTGCAGAGCGTAATACCAGAATAGATAATGAGAAAAAAAATCACACAATCAAAGATGGCCTCCTTCACATAACTTCAACGAGCAGAACGAAAGAGATGTTGTGTTTATGGTAGACCTTTCATGATGTGTTCTGATATGTCCGGTTCGTCTCTCTTCCTGCGATCCTTCTTGAAGTGCGCCAACTGCAAATGAGTGTCGCCATTCCTCAGCCACGTGTGAGGCTGCACACACACACACACACACACACACAGAAAACAAAGGCCAACAGTGTTGTATTGTAGAGAGAAAAACCTTGAATTAGTGGCAGTTTCATTCAATGCTTGACTCCTGTATAAATGGTCAATGCTCACAAACTTTACATAGAACTATGTCATACTACTAAAGGGTACATATTCTTTGGTAAGTGAAAGATCGGTGGAGGGAAAGAGAGGGAGAGAGAGAGGACTGACCAAGATTTGATTGAGGGAGTGGCTGTACTGATGCCAGGAGACCTCTCCTTCGTGGAGTATCTGCTTGTGGAGGTAGAGCTTCAGGTGACGAAACGAGGATATATCCTTGGCAAGAGAGAGAGAGGAAACAGAGATGACAAAATCATGCACAGAGGGAGCACCTTGAAAAAAAATTTGAGGGCATATTTCTGTTGCAGAGCTACCACGGTTTGACCAGAACATTCTGAATTTGAGCCTAGAATTGGGCAGATCCTACCAAAATACTTAGCAATAATTATGCTACAGTGTTTTGCTTCAGTTTGTGGAAGTCGTACAGGGCGATATGCAGGATTGAGCTGAAAGTCTGAGGGAGTGTGCTGCCACCTGACGTCCCCACTGGCTCCGTCCAGAGCCACTGTCGTGTAGTGTTCATACGAGTCCAACTGAGGGAAGGAAAAGAGAGAGACTAGAGAACATGTTAACTGCGTAGGTAGTATGTAGCAACACACCATCTGTTCCTGGTCTCCTGGCATTCCTCCCCTTCTGGCCCTGAAACAAGCACACACCTAAACAACTAAACACATGCCAATATCCACTGCTACACATTCTATATAGTAGTCCTTGCTTATTACAAGTGGACTGGCAGCGGTGAACGAAAGTAGAATGGAGAATTTTGCTCATAATTATTTCCCGAGGATTAGGTTTACTTTTGAAGAGCCTGATTAACAAGCAGCATATCTTTACAGTTGGTGTAAGTGGTGATGAGGTGTGACTGACCTGGTGAAGCTGTCTTGGGGAGCCGGTTTCCCCGATACCCTCCCTCCTACCACCACACACCCAGTGTCTCCCTTACGAATGGACACGTGGGACACCAGCACCGTCGCTGCGCGGAACACATTTGACTATCTCGTCCTGCGTGCCGAATATCTCCGGATTGACTTCACCTGATGGCTATGTGGCGGTCCTTCTCCCTTTGTCCTCAGAGGTTGGCTCTGCATTGAGCGGCTTTTTCCCCTTGGATGGCTGTCGTGCACTCCTGCTTTGCTACGAGTACCTGCCAGTCAGCTGTCAGCACAACTATCACACCTGACAGAGAGAAGATAGGGTTGAGAGGGAGAGACGAGGGAAAGACAGAGACTTATGGGGGAGAACAGCTGCAGATTATGGTGCAAAGATAGTCTGAAGGGTCCTGAAGCTCTTTTTGGGGCTAATCAACTAGTATGAAGTACCTGTGCTTACTTGCACCATGGACGTGTACTGTTTGAGGTTCCGTTGGCAAACTGCGGATGGTGAACACCGTCACCCAACTCACGCACGTTCAATGCACCCTTCAGCAACATAAACCTACCCTTGAAAGAGGAGGTGGTTCAAGTCTGACGAAGCCAGATGGAAAGGACGAGATAGAGCGAAGGAGAGAGTGATGAGAGAGTGTCTTCGTGTGTCGGTTGGTTGTGGTAGAAGTTCTACTGTTGTGTTGGGTGTGGAGATTAGATTTTTCTCTTGAGGTTATGGGCCGGAGCCAGGAGGTGAGAGGAGTCAGGAAAGTCTCCTTCACCAGGTGTGAATGGGATGCAGTACAGTAGGTCTGGGGAAGAGAGAGAGAAGACGTAAGATCAACCGTGTTAATGTGTGAACTGCCTGCTTCAGTGCCTGTGAGTCCGTCACTGTCAGGTCGTTACAATCGGTCTAGGTCTGCAGGATAAGGCGGTACACTAGGTAAGTACGCCAGTAATAGTGAGCAAGTGGACGCTCTAACAGTCTTTCATTTCTGTGTGAAAGTGTACTTGTCGTGATACAGTGAGTTCAGTATTCCTACTCCACGCATGGGACAAACTGAAAAGACCAAAGGAGGCATAAGAATATACCTACATACTGGAGCTCCACCCCCATTTCCTGAGTGTTTCTCCTTCGTCACTCGAGTTTTGGAAGGAGCACGCGGACTCCACTACTGTGCAGGCGACAGAAGATAAACAGCGTGCGCCAGTAACGACTTAGTCCTACCCCTTTTCCCTTTCTTGCTCCTTCCCATTTTTCGGTGGAGCGCTACGGTTCTTCCATTTTCCTCTCTTCTCCCCTTAGTGTGTCTGGGACGTAGGCTGTTCCAAACTCGCTGTGAAGCCGAGCGAGCCTCCGGTCGGATCTTCTGCGCAACGCGCTTGGAGCTAGGTTTGTAGGTAAAGCTGAAATTCTCTTCGTTAAATTTGGTCATATTTCCCAATGTCCTAGTACGGTTTAAATAGCGCGCAAGGCGCTTACTGGCATCGGATACTTGGAATGTTTCAAACATCTTCACCGCCCGTCCATCAGCTCTCCTGTATGTAGTTGCGTGCTGCCTGAGTCATGACGGAGTTGGACCCAAAATTCGAGTTTCGCATGCACTCGTGTGTTTGGTGGCCCCTGTTCGAATGCGGTATCATACGCACAGGCATTATGGCGGATGTACCCGGGTTGCCGTGGACCAGTTAGGTTTTCAAGTGTGATGATAAGACCTCAGTCAACACTCAGCTGAAAAATGAATCCCGCCTTTTCTCTGCGTAACGTGATACTCGCTTTCCCAGAGAGCCCTACGGTGTCTGACCCCCCCTCTTACTTTGTTTCCACCCACCTCCCCCACCCACAAGTTTGGCTTGCCTACGTGCAGTATGAAACGCAGCATATGGCTTTTCGCGGGAACTTCACTCTGTTACCTTGTTCCAGCCAGCAGTCCCCAGTCCTCGGGTTGAAACTGTGTAGGAGCTCTCAGATGATCTGGCCAGAGATTTGTGTTCCTTGATGAGTGCGAAGGGTTTTTGTCGCCCCCCCCCCATCTCGGGACATGATTGGACCTTTTTTTTTCGGTCTGCCTCCTCCCCCACGTTATACTGTCAAGGGCGAGAGTAGTGGAGGGGAAACGCTGGTGGTTGAGACGAGCCTCCGATGACCGGCTGGGGCAGAGAAGAGCAGAAGAGCAGAAGGACGAAGAGAAAGGAAGCGCAGCCAGCATTATGTCTCCCTACAGATCAGTCATAAAGCAACAAGCGGTACGTACCTTCCCCTACAGTCCTGTTGGGAGAGAGAGTGTGGGAAGTAAGAATAGGAGGTGGGCCCAAAAGTCTACCTTTTTTCGAAGATGTGTCCCCAAAACGCAAGAGGTGTCTTGGTGGCCTTAACTGTCTGTTTTTCTTGTTACCCCCCTCATGTAGCGGTGCAACAGAGTGCTCTCTTCTAAGATAAGCTCTAGATGCCATCAAGAAGATACTGAAACCAACCATTGGAACGTTTCTGTCCCTGCTTAATATTACCGCCACCAGAAGCAGTCACTGAAGGGATAGGCGCATCTTATGTACAGCACCTACCTTCAGTGAATCCTCACTTCACAATGATCTGATGTGCTCCAGGCGCTACTTGGCCAAGAAGGAGGGCAGGTTAAAGCGAAGCCGGGACGAAACGGGAGGCAGAGGAGATCGCAGAAGACTGCAGGCCGAATCACGGAAGAAGCTACGGAAAACGCAAGACGTGTTTCTGCACAGTCCGCACCCTGGTCACGACTCGGGGTAAGCACAGCCACGCGACCGCCATATGAGAAAAGATGGTGGATGAAGCACCGACAACAGACGATGGACAGAGTCCGTGGGATTTTCAAGTCCAGACGGAGAGTCGTGTCCAAGGGAAGCTATGCTGCCGCCTGGGGGGTAGCGACTATGGGCTCAGTCTAGCGGGGATCTCATGCCAGCAATTCCCCATGACAACCGCACGCCAAACATCAAACCTCGAGGTACACTATATACACGGCTCTCTACACGTTAGATCGCCAGATTACACATGTAGAGGGTTAGATTTTTTGTGCTACACCGTCTTGTGTTTATTTACAACGTGAGTGTTTAAAATGTATGATGGTGAAAATCAATTGAAAATCAAATGTAGTGGGTTTCCTGATGCAGTTGAAGGTCCTCGAAAGGCAACAGAAGTCAAGCTTTCAATGGTCGAACTAGCCACTCGCTTCCCCAAGGAAGCCAGAGACTAGAGGGAGATGAGAAGCAGAGATGGCCACGTCCGGCGGCAGCACAGGAGTACGTCTTGCTCTTCAAGTTACAGGCAGGCAAGCGGAGAGGTTCCGTTCTGGATCCCACCCCCTCCTAGCAAGCACCGCCCCCAGCGCCGATGTATATGTGCACAGTGGAGCAGATTTCACCTCAGATGTAGCACCAG